TGTCTGTTTTTACATTGAGTGGCTTTAAAATTACCCAGTTTGACTGTACTTAAATTAGCTAAAATATCTTTACCATGCAGATATTTGCCATTATATTAACCAAAACGTTACAGTATTCCACCATTTTTTTGGTTTATGCAAGAGTTTCAACATTTAAATTTTTTTTTTTTGGTACAATATGGAACAAAAACCACTTCCTTTACATTTTACATTTTTAAGTTATTTACTCTGTAGTAACAGGTTTTGACTTTGATACAAAAGAGTCTTTCGGTTTGTCAGTTCTTGTCATAAAAGCCAAAATAACCTTCCCATGATTCCACGTTTACAGGCAATAAAAAGAGAAAACTAGTAAAGTGGGTGATCTGTATGTTAACAGCAGTGACTCTGGTTTAAAACTCTCACCGTGCAGGGAGGCTGCATCCAGGGCTCGCCATCGATCTGCATGGGCAGCCGCCGGGACGTCCTGCAGGGAGAGAGACAGGGGAGGACAGAGGGTGAGGACGGGGGTGAGGCTGGAGGTCGTGGAGGTCAGATCACACCTCAGAGGCCTGTTAACGCTGCACCAGGACGTCAAACACTGCAGCCTTTGTTCCCATGAGACCCAGACAGGACCTCCACTATTTAAACTCACAACTCAGCCAGTGTACACAAACACACACACACACACACACACACACACACACACACACACACACACTGTTGGTTTTGGGCTTTCATGCCTCTGCGGCTACAGAAACACATTATGGGAGAATGAATGTGATGAATGCTCCTTTAATTCTGCTTTAGGAAAATATCAGAGGGCCGTTTGTAAATGTCACCTCTCTGCTGCAGCGACTGGAGATTCACACCGCAGAGTAAAAACCTCCAACTGTACAGCTCTGTGACCAGCTTGGAGTTATATCACAGACTTCCCCTCGTGTGTCAAACTACAGACGATATCTAGTTAAATTACAGAAGAAAAAGTGTTCATTTATAAAAACGAAAAACAAACTAATCCTGTAAATAATATGAACATCCAAAATATGTATTTTTTAAAATAGTAATTAGTTCTTTTACAATGTGTAAAATTTAACTAAATTAAACTACTGTTTTAAACAATTTCCCTGTTTTGTTAAATTACGGATAAAAACTAGTGAAATCATGGAAACATAGGATTCCTTTACATGTTGACTATAAGTTTAAAAAAGGGGAAAAAAATGTATTCCTTTTTAAAAAAAATAGTAGTTAGTTCTTTTACAATATGTCACTGGAAAAAGTACCCGCTTTTCTGTATTTAAATAATGAAATTTTAATTATTTTATGCATAGATTTTTCCTGTTTTGTTAAATCACAGATGATATCTAATTAAATAACAGAATAAATCTTCACTTCGCATGTTGATAATAAAAAAAGAGGCCAAAACTCTAAATAACGTCCACATCAGAAATTTTTTTTGTTTTTTACAATTTGTCACTGTTAAATTAAACATTTTTTACTGTATTTAAATAATCAAAAATATGAAATATATGCTGTTAATACAAAGTAAAATCATACATGTTAAATATTGAAAAATGGTAAATCATTTTTAAAGCTGTTATTCTATAGATTTGTTAAATTGCAGATAAAATAAAAAATGTCACAGCTCTGGAAACCGTCTGAAGTCCAAACTGCAGCGTGTTTGTATAATTGATGAGCGACAGGCGTGTTGTTGTTGGGATTCTACAGGAGCACTGGAGAGGAATCCATTTTTTATCCCCCATGTATAAGAGATGGATGCAGTTTCCGGCTGGCTGCCCGGGAGCAGATGAAGGAGGAGGTCAGAAGACGAGGCTCTACCTGATGGTGACGTTGGAGCACTGAGCCAGCCTCTGCCCGGCTCTCTTCAGCCCCGTGTAGATCTGACCCATCTCGATGGCTCCTTCCAGGCCGACCACCTCCAACAGCTGGTCGCTGAAGTCTGCACGGCAACAGAAACACAGCAGTCACTCTCAGCTGGCTTTATCACGCTAACGTGGTCCTCAGCCGAAGCAGCTCCACGCCGACGCTGAGCACAAAACCAATTTTCTCCTCCTGCAGAGATCAAGATTCGATCTCAGGAGCTCGTGAGTCCTCATCAAACACGAGTGGCTGATTTCTGAGTGAGTTATAATTACTCCCGTCTCGTTTAAACTCGCTGTGCTTCATGTTTCTACATAAAGTCCTGCAGCTCTGTGGAACCGGAACATGAAGGAGGAGGAGAGAACTTCTGTGAACAGGACTCAGAACGATGGAGACCAGAGAAATAATGATGATAATAATAATAATAATGTAAAAAGCTGAATCTCCTAAATTATTTACTGAAAACAACAAACAAAAACTGGACTCCACATGTTTCTACGTGTCCACAGCTTTTACCAACACTAGAAAAAAACAACTGAACATACGATAAATATTTAACTATTTACGTTTTGTATTTGTTTCCCGACATGTGTCCTCCTCCATAATACAGTATGTGGAGACGAAACAACCACAAAGAGACACGAATCGACACATATACGACCAAATTATAAAAAACACCAAAAACAAGTTGAGCTAAAACTAAAAAAAAAAAGACAAAAACGTTACAAAAAACAATAAAAAAGAGGCTCAAAGTCAACACAACGAGATAAAACTGACAAAAGTTAGTAAAACGAGACACAAAACGACAAAAATCAGACAAAATGGAGACGACGAGAGACTGAGA